TCACTTGCTGCACCAGTGTGCCTGTGGCTCCTGAGCCTGATCCCTGCGTCCTCTGAGTGGGACCTACCAGCAGCAAGAGACCAGGAGGTGGCTTTCGCATTTCATCTCCCGCTGAAGTGGGCACACCCAGTGATCTACCAGAGATGCTGGAGAGGTCACAGTCTCCTTGCCTTGATCTGGTGCTTTTCCACACCAGAGAAGGGGATGTGCAGGTTGGTTCCCACTTTGAAAACAATACTGAGTGACAACAAGGAAGAGCTGTGATTGGTGTCATAGTCTGAGTGCCCCAACAGAGCAGCATCACAAGTGTATGTCGCAAAACCCTTCCTTAAATAAGTTCCCTAGGAAATCCTTTGATCTGGTCTGACTGTGAGAACATAAATTTGAGTATAGCTTAAAGGTTACAAAATAACCATTCTGTTTTATTGTTTAATATAAAATGGTGTTTAGTCTCCCATATGTGATAAATATTAAACTGTTCCTAATTTTCTTTCCATAGACCGTCTCTATGAAGATCTTCACCTTTCACCGCGAGTTAATTCTATCATTCTTGAACTGGACCTGCACCACCTTTGAAATGCAGGGATTCCCAAATCAGCTGTGTGCTGTTGAAGCATGCCCCATCTCCATCCCACCCTGTTCCTATTCCATAAGAGCCTGGGAAGTTCCTGGGGCCATGCTCCTGCTCATTAGCTCTCTTGACTCCAGCTGACTTATAAATGTTAAAGGAAACAAAACAAACTGCTGGGAGGGAGAGGAAGGGCTGTAGGTGTTGGCCACATGTCAGTGGAGCCAAGCCAGACTCAGATGAAGATGCTATTGTGTTGCAGTGATTTCCCTGGAAAAACAGGCCTGGAGATCTCCTTACTGTTCCTGGGAAGCACTTGATGACCGGGAGGGTGTGGATTCGGGGCACCCGGAAGGCTGTGGGGGTGCTGGGGGCTTTTGACAATGTTGTGAATGTGACCATGAGCAGACATGACTACAAACCTGCAGGACTGGACGAGGCACCAGTGCTCAGCTCCAGCACGCATGGCTGCAAGTGCCAAGGCTCGGCTCTGGTTCCCAGACAGAGAGTGGGTGTCTGCAAAGACATGCAGGTGCTGCACTTGGAGAGGTCCGGGACACAGGCACAGCAGTTCCTCGGCTGCTGCTCATCAGCAGCTGCACATTGGTGGTCCATCGGCCACCCAACCCATAGACTGGGAACCAGGAAGGAGATTGTGGCAATGGGGGTGTCTCCCATGTGTGCTCCAAGCAAGACCTGTCAGCCCTGGCCAGGCCTATGGCTACTGCTCTTTGGGTTTTGTCACCCCTTGGTGACTTGCCCCTTGGGCAAAGTTCAGAGTTCCCTCTGGTTTGTTGGCAGAGTGGATGTGAGAAGGTTAGTGTCCTGCTCCTGGAGCAGATGCACAGCGGACTGCTGCATCCCGGGGGTGTCCAGGGCAGGCAGCCGTGCCAGCAGCCCCCTGGCACTCATCCCTTCCTCCCAGGAAGTGCACTGGCCTAGATACCGGGGCCATGGGCAGACACAGCCAGGATCACCAATTTGCATCCCATCCCTCAGGGCTCTGGGACGGTGCAGACACCCTGGGAATGGACGGGAGGAGACAGGAACATTCCAAGAACCCCAGCCAGAGCTCAGCCATCTCTGGGCCATGAGGAGGGTCTGTGGGTGATGGAGTTCTCACCACAGTGCCAGCCCTCTCCAAAGCTTCACAGCAAATCACTCCAATCTTTTTAAACGTCTCGCTTAAACCACCACCCAAGCATCCCATGCATCCCCAGTCATGGCCCACACGCAGCATGGTACATGGAAAGCTGTCTGGGGACACAATGCTGTCCCTCTCCTGCACCACAGGGAAACCTCCTGCATCCGCCCCCCCTGGACAGTCCGTAAATGCCCCCTCCCTCCTTATCTTTCCCTGAGCAGCAGGGGTCTTGGCATCTCCTTAGCCCCTGTTTCCTCTTCCAGCTCCTGTTGACACACTGGCCCTGGGAGAACAATGGGGCCGAGGGCAGCAGAGAGACAACCTGTCTGTTCCTCTGGCTGTCCACTCATTTTCCTGGGCACAGCTGGGCCACAGGGACCGGCAGCACAGCTGATGAGGTGGCAGCACCAGGGAGAAGCTGGGGCAGGGTGACCCCACAGGGGGGCCACAGCCTGAGCAGTCTGGCACTGCCCCATCCCAGCACCGCAGCACTGGGCATCCCACAGCGTGAGGCCACCCTGCACTGCCTGGATGCTGGTGGAGATGTCCAGTGAGGAAAGGAATGCAGAGGTACCTCTGTGCTGATGAGAACAGGGCTGAGAGGGCAACAGTGGCAGATAGAAAAGTGTCTGGTCACGGATTTGGGGGAGAGAAGAGTTTTTATTGTGAGTTATTGGCCAGGCTGGCATCCTCTGCCCTCCAGCAGTGTCATTGGCACAAAGATATTAAATAAAGAGCTCGTTTCAGGCCGTGCTTGTCAAGGCCAGCAGGTTTAAAAACCTCCCTGAATTTCCAGCCTGCGAGGAGCAGGGAAGTAAGCTCAGCCTTATCTGGAGGGAGTGCTGGTCAGGAAGAAAACTGTGTGCTCCTGAGGAGCGGCTGGACGCCCAGCCGGAGGTGCGGCAGATAGCGTTCAGCCAAGGTCAGAGTCCCGCTCCGAACAGCCGCCGACAGTCCCGAGGGCGGCGTGGAGGGAGCAGACGCGAGGGGCTGGGAGCCCAGCACCTGCCAGCACCTCTGGCAGCCCCCGCACCTCTCAGCACCCTGCGGCAGCCCCAGCCCGCAGCCGGCAGCGCTTGGCTCAGCACCCCGAGGCCACCCAGGCTCCTCTGCTGGGGCTCGTGTGCCATCCAGTGGCGAAGGCTCAGCTCCAGCACAGCCTCAGCCTTCCCACGCTGCCGCTCAGCGCCGCGAAGGAGAGAACCACGCTGGGCTGGAGCCCGGAAAGCATCTCGCCGTGGAGGACCCACTGTGGAGGCTGCAGGCAGCAGTGGGATGCGCTGTCTCCACTGCCACCCAGCCGGGGAGGCATGCCCGGGCCAGCGGTGCTCCTGGCAGGGGCGGGGGGCTCCTGCTGCTGTAGCAGGATCCCAGGCTCCCCCTGAAATGCTCAGGGAAGCAGTCCAGGTGCTGGGAGGGGACAGTGGCCCCAGGGGGATGACCCGGGCTGGGCTGCAGCAAAGCCTCCCGCACCTTCCCGAGGGATCCAGCATCGACCTGTGCTGGGGAGTGGGGAGACTCCTCATGGCAGGGAGATGTTCAAGTCCTTCCATGGCAAGCCCCTGACCACTCCATCTGTCTTGTCCCAGCCAGGGACAGTAAAGGGATCGAGGGCCTCCTCCATTTTAAACCGCAGTGACACTGATGGCTGGGCTGGAATTGCCTCCAGCAGGGTTGTTTCGGCTGTACCCTCGGGCGTGCCACAGCTACCTGCTCTGCAAGGGCTCGCTCCCACTGGCACGGTCAGCAGGACTGGGCTTTGCAACACCTGTGGGCAATCCTGGGCACACAGGAGGTGATCTGTGTACAGCACTAGCCCTGCCCCAAATGGATTCCAGAGGCATCGTCCCAGAGGACCCTCAGAGGGATGTCACATCTAAATGGATACTGTGGGCAGCTGCAAAGATCTTGGAGCTGTGCTGGACTGGGACTGGCAGAGGGAGCAGGAGAGAGAGTTTTAAGGGAATTGCCTGAGAAGGCAGGGCCCCCAGCAGTGGCAGTTGTAGCTTGGTGAATCGCAGCAGGCTCCTTTCTGCTCCAAGATGTTAGGAGCAGCTCAGCAATTAAGACTGGCTTCTATTAAAATGCAAATTTCTGCTGCCATGGCAATAATCTTCTAAATGCAAATTGCACTGGGAACTATTGTTGGAGAGACACCTGTGCTGGGCCCTGGATTTTGTCTGTGCAGATTCTCCCAACTGAGTGAGCTCTCCTGAGCCTGTGGCAGCCGGGGGCAGCACTGCCAGTGCCCACCCTCATGCAGGCAGCAGATTCCCACCTGGCCTCTTCCCTGTCCTTGCTCAGCCCTTTTTGCACAGGTAATAAAGAATCACCTTTGAGTAATTCTGAGTTGGAAGGGACTCACAAGGATCATGGAGTCCAACTCCAAGCCCTGAACAGGACACCCCAAAATCCCCCCCTCTGCCTGAGAGCATTGTCCAAACACTCCTGGAGCTCTGGCAGCCTTGGGGCCATGAGCACTCCCTGGAGAGCCTGTTCAGTGACCGACCACCCTCTGGAGGAAAGGGGGCACGCAGTACTGGGCACACGGCCAGTACTGGTCTGTGCCCAGGTGTTGGTAGCCAGGCTGGGTGCTGGCGATGCTGGTGTGATCCAGGTGAAGCCCTGCAGGTCTGTTTGCCCTCATGCTGGCTGCGGGAGCACAGACCCAGGCCATGGTGCCAGTGGAGCCGCACAGCCTTGGGGACACCTCAGCACAGGTGCGCTGCACCCACAGCCGCGGGAGAGCGTGACACCCTCGCGGCAGCACGTAGTCCGTGGGGAAACAGAATGGGTCCGCTAGGAACGGACACCGGAGGGTGATCTGCCCCTCCGTACAGGCACCGGCACCCACAGACAGGAGTGCCGCTGAGGCGCACGGAGCGAAGGCCCCGAGAGCTCCGACCGCCCGCGGCACCTGAGGCGGCCCCGCTGGCCCCGCCCCTCGCGCCTTCCGGCGGAAGCCCTGCTGGGAGGGGCTTGTGGTGGCACCGCCCACTCCGTCCCCGCGCCTGCGTGCCCCGCCCCGAGGGCCCAGTCGGGGGCGCTGGGCGGGGCCTGAGGTGGCGCCTCGCTGCCTGGCCCCGCCCAGCCCGGGTCGGTAAATCAGCAGGAAGGCAGCAAGGGGCGGGGCTTGTGCTGCCCCTGCCCCTCGCCGCCTGCGCGCTGCGGTGGCTCCGGGCGGGGCGGCCGGGCCGGGCCGGGCCGGGCCGGGGTATGCGGGGAG